ACGACCGGGACCACGGTGTCCTCCCCACGGGGACAGCGGGGCGGCTCACAGGTGTCCCGCGGCCGGCCTGCCCTGCACCTGCAGTGACAGCACCAAGTGGCCCAGGCTTTGACAAAAGTCAGCGCTCCCACTGTCCCCAGAGAGGAGAGGCGGACCCGAGCGAAACCAGGACTTACACATCTAACCGCCTCGTCTTTTCTTTCTTCCTCTCTCTTTTTTTAATCCAAGTTTTCCTACGGAAATTCTACCTGGAAACACTTACGTGGATGTGTGCGTCGCACTCTGGGGGTCCAAGACCGATCCTCGGGCGCCAAGAGCAACCTCGGAGCCGGGCTCGCCTGCTCGGCCCCCTCGCCGCGGCCAAGCGTCCCGCCCGGGCTCGGCTGCGCTCCGCGGGGACCCAGGACCGTCGCCGCAGACGCCGCCCCGGGCGCGGGCCGCGCAGGCACTTGTCAGAGCGCCCGGCTCGCTCGGCCGCCCAGCTCTTCCCAGCTTTCTTTCACAATGACTTCCTGAAGTTGCTCACTCGCATTGTTCCCCATTTCTCCTCTGCGCTCCCCACCCCCCGCCGGCCGCCACCAGGCTTTCGCGCTCCCGGCCGGTCGGCCCGTCCCGCGCGCACAGCGCCGCCCACGGGCCGCGCACCTGGGCTCCGCGCCGCGCCCCCGCGGGCCAGCGCTCCGCCACCTGCGGCCGCCCGGCCCGAGCGCGCGCCCGCAGCCCGCGCTCCACAAACTTTGGGGCTGCGCGCCAAGCCGGTCCCGGCGCGCCCTGCCCCGCCGCCGCCGCCGCCGCCGCCGCCTCGGACCCCGCGCACGCTCCGGCACCGAGCGGGACAGGAGCCGGGAGGGGGGCGGGACGCGCAGCGGGGCTCGGAGAGGGACGTGGACCGGCCGCGGGGCGGGACTCGGAACCGGGCGCAGCGCGAGGCTCGGAGTGGGGCTCGCAGCGGGACGCGTCGCCCCTGCCGCCGGTCGCCCGCTCGCACTGCGCCGTCCCGACCGCAACTCCGGGGCCGCGCGCGCAAACTTTGCCGCCGCGCTGGGCTGGACACCGGCCCCCCCTCCCCCCGAGCCCAGGCTCTCGGGGCGGCAGCGGGCACGGGCAGTACCTGCTGGCGCCGCCGCCGGCTGCAGCCCGCTCGCCTGCGCCGGGCCCGCTGGGCGCGCCGCCGCCACCCCCGCGCCCGCGCGCCCCAGCCCTCCCCGCGCCGCCGCGCTTCCTCATTCCAGCGCCGCATCCCGCCGCGGCCCCGCGCGGCCGGCGGTGACCGCCTTTCCGCGTCCCGGGCTGGCTGGCGTGTCTGCCACCGCGCCGCGGGGCCCGCGCTTAACCCTTGGGGGTCCGGCGCGGACGACGCGTGCGGGGCCGCTGAAGCCGGGGCGCCCTCCAGGGGACCCGCAACCCTGTGCCCCGGGCCGCTCGTCGGGGCACCCGCGTGCTCGCCCGCCCGGGGCACTCGGGGTCCCGTGAAGCACTTTCCCCGACGTCTAGGGCAGCCCACTGCCCACCCGGCTTCGTTTCCCTCCAGCTAGGGCCACTTGACTTCCCGGTTCTGGCTGCGACCCCAGGTTATGAGTGCCCACCCGAGGGGGTGGGAAAAGTTGATCCTCCGCAAGTGAGGGGAAGGTGCAATTCATTTTCCCAGACAACCAATGGAATACCTCTCGTCTCTCTTCCCTCCCACCCGCTCGAGGCACAAGTTAGGATCGCGCCTTCCGGCTTGGCCTGTGTGCACACGCGAGTGTGAAAGGGCGGCGGCGGCGCGGGCGGCTCGGAAGGCAAACCTGTAACCCCTCCTCGGCTCTCTGCGCCTCAGCCTCCCCCTCCGCGAGCCCCGAAGCGGGAGTGTAAGGCGCTGAGTATCGGTTCAAACGGGAATGCCGGCTCTGATGGCGCACCTCTTCGTCCTCCGCGAGGAATCCGTCATTCTGATCAGGCAGGCCCCACCCGGCAGGAGCCCGGCGAGAGTGCTCAATTTGAGCAGAAGAGCAGGAGTCATGAATTCAACAGATTTGTGCTGGGCATCGCCCCCAACCCCCGCCCAGGCGCCAGGGGAGGGTCTGTTACACGAGCCAAGACCGCGGCCTTTCAAGACTTGCAGGGGCGCATCGGTAAGGCTCAGATAAACGGCGGCGCATCCCTGCGAGCAGGACGAACAAAACGGGACCGCGTCTTTCCATGGGAAGAGCGAGAAAGGGCTCTGGGGCCTCGAAGCGGCAGGCTGGGCAGGCCTTCCAAGTGGAGAGAAGTGCCTCCGGGCAAAGGGAACGGGCAGCTGAGTGAGGCCAGGGAAGGCTGAGGCCTGTCTAAGGAGGCTGCTCGTGGTGGGGCCAGGGGCCCTGTTGACCACCTTCGCCTCCGCCATCCCTGGGAGAAGTCTCTCCTACCACCCTTGAGCTACAAACAGCATGTGCCAAGTTCTTGCTGGACCCCTTCTGCGACACTAGTACTCGGTTTGTCCTGAAATTCTGCTGTGCTGAGCCCGAGACAGTTAACTCCGTGCTTAAAAGCCCAGAGGAGGCTGGACTTGTAGAAGTTTCATTGACTTAATTCCTAGTCCTTCCCTTACTTGTGTGACCTTGGGAAAGTTATTGAACCTCTCTGAGCCTCATCTTCTTTATCTGCAAAAGAAATAAACGCTACTTCATCCTAAAGAGTCCTTGTCAAGATTCAATGAGGCAATAAACATAGGGTGCAGGGCCCCAAGGGAGGCAGATGACCCGGTGGAGGGGTCATGACCTTGGATGAGTGCGACACTCTTAGCTCCGCCCCCCAGGCTCCTCTCTTTAAATGTGTGCCATGGTCTCCAGGAGTGCGTGTCAAGGACTCAGATGTGTTCATCCCACCAAGGCAAAGCCTCCTGAGGCAGAAGAGCATGAGGCTAGGAGCCGAGGCCGTTGGGCTGTGTGACCTTGACCGAGGTCACTAACCTCTCTGAGCTTCAGTTTCCCCATCTATACATTGACGGTAATAATATAAGCTACCTCCCGGAATTGTTGGTGAATAAAGTAGATCACATACAAAACTCCTTGCCATATGCTTCTTGCTATAGCAGAGAGGAGGACTCTGTGAGCAGTAATTATTATTTATTATGAACTCTACTATTACTAGCCAGTCTCATGTACCACTGCAAAGAGGTGGAGCGGAAGGAACTCGGCTTGTAACCTGGGTCTGTGGATAAGACTCCGTGGGGCCAGAGATGACCCTTCCATCAGAAGTTAAAGCTGCTGAAGACAACAATAAAAGCATATTGGAGGATCTATATAGGGGCAGGGGATTAAAAAAAGGGTTATTATGGGATTACGTGAAACCACGTGTGTGAAACTTTTTAAACTGTAAAGCACTATATAATTTAAAGAATCTTTCATTCGATAAAAAATAAAAACGATAAACATTAAAAAACACATTGGAGGAGAAAACGTATCAGTGGAAATTGAAACAGGTGTGATCCTCTGAAAAGTTATAGGTGTCATTTTGTTTCTTTAGAAATATATATATATGTGTGTGTGTGTATATGTGTGTGTGTGTATAGATAGATATAGATAGATAGCTGTTTCCATAACATTAGAGTGTTAAAAATAGCTTAGTTCATTCAGACAATAATTGCTAAATTACCATTTTTTTCTTTCAAGATAATCTTCTCAGAAGAATAAAAACACCTATAGAATTCATCAAAGTCTACTTATTCAGGACTTACTATAATAATGGAGTCAGTTACGGGCGCTTTTGTTCTGGCAGAGCCTGGATTGCATTTTAAAGCAGAGTGAGTTTTGTAGAGGAAAAGGATAGTTGAGGTGATAAGTGTGGTTATTAGTTTTGTTTCTTACTAGCTGTGTGAGTCTTGGTAAGTTACTTAACCTCTCTGAGTTTCAGTGTGTCATCTGCAGAGCATACCTACTTTCCAATGGTGTTGCTAGAATTCAGAGAAATTAAATGAGATAATGTATGTAAGTAATTACGATGATGATGGTGTTTTTTTCTTTAAGAAAATCTATTAAACAGCAATAAAATGAGCATCCCTTTGCCTCCAGCGGTTGAGAAATAGTAAGTATCTTGTTAAATAGTAAGTATCTTGTTAAATAATAGGTAAAGTTTTCTGTAAAACATGAAATTCTGTTATCTTTCTGTAGTGTGAAACTCATACAGAACGCTTGTGGTTCTGTATGGTGTGAAGGATCATGAACTTGAGGAAAAAGACCAAGCACTGGGATGAAACTTCTGCAACAAGGGCTCTGCTGCTCTGGTTTCTTTTTCCCAGTTTTTATGACCTCCAGCTTCTGCTTCTTCTGTTTTTGAAAACCAAAGCTTTCCAGCCTGGGGCAAGGCCTCGACCCTTTTCCTTGGGGTTCACTCCTTGGGTTTGGAAGTGAAGAACCAGGACTCAGGGGTGGGGAAGTGTCGGGGGCGGCTCATGCAGAGCCAAGACCGTCCAGCTGGCAGAGCCTGGGTGGGAAATGCCTGGGGACCCAGAAGGAGACCCCTCAGGGTGCACCACGTCCTCTCCAGAGGCTCCGTGGCTCCTGGTTTTGAAACTCAGAGAAATGCAGCAGTGCAGCTGGGTTTTGAATCAAGGACGTGATGCAGCTGACAACCAAATCCTTCCCACTTTATGATAATTCTTTCACCTTATTCCCTTTGGTATTTGTAAGAAGAATACACTTAGACTCTCAGAAACAGTGACTTTGTATCAATATCGTTTGCTTAGAAGCGACTGAAAAACAAACTGAGTCAGATATAGTGATTTGGAGGAGATAGATTCACCCAAAAGCCTTCCAGTGAAAAGGGTTAAAGATGTTTTGTGTGAGCGAAAGAAAGGCAGATACTGAAGTGATCTGACCAGATTAGGATAAAGGAACCCGAGAACTGAGCGCCACCCTCCCCACACTGACTGTATGGAGTAAGTTCGGGATTGGAACACTATTTCCGGTGGTGTCACACCTTCCGGTGGGATGCATTTATTCGTTTATGCAAAGAGCATGTATCCATTGAGCGCCTACCTTTGCGGGTGGTATCTGAGAGACAGGTAGTCCCCATGAAGCATCAGATGTGGTCTTATCCCTGAAGGGCCTCTAACTGCTAATCCAGAAAAGTGGAAACAACTGCATTTTGACGTGCAACGCGCTGTGGTAAATTCAGACACAAAGCCTGCGGACACACAGAGGGTGAAGCTGCTCAGTGGTACTCGAGCTGGTGTAGGAAGCGCTGGTCTTCTCTACCTGCGGGAGCTTTAGAAGAGTTTCCTCAAAAGAGACAATTAACCAAAGGCGAACAGTCATATTCAGGTAACAGCCCTATTGAGCCCAGCTATGTGGAAGACATTGCCAGACTATTATTGCCAGGTTATTTTCCGTCTAACAACGCAACGAGGATACTCAAGTTCAGAGAGCGTGGCTTGCCCGGGGTTGAAGGTTAAGGGCCAGACCCTGGAGCCAAACTGCGTTTGGGAGCTTGGCAAGCTCCTAGGCTTCCCCGGGCCTCAGTTTCCTCTTCCGTAAAATGGGAATATAACACCACCACCAACAGTCAGATCTTCATCAGTAACGTCCACAGTCTGAATGAGTCAATGTGCGCTAAGCAACCTTGAATGGATACTCAGCACTGAATCAGTGTTCGATACTTTTGAAGTATTCAGTTTCTGAGTGGTTGGGCTGGAATACAAATCTCGGTCACTTCTCTCAGCTATGCCCCCTGCCTATGCCCTGTTTCCCAGCAGAGAGCTGAGATCCCTCCAAGGACTCATTAAGGACATTTAAGACATCCTCCTCCCGCTGGTGAAGAGTCTTTCTTTCCAGGTCACTTTCAGTGTTTTATTTCCCCTGAGGCCAAGTTGCCAATCTTGGCAGCACCAGTCTTGGTAAAGGGATCAGATCGACACATCCAGGAAAGATGAAGGTTTGTGACTGGGCTTTCCAATCTGTAAAGTACATAGACATTGAGTCTAGCTATTTTTGTACTGTTATAGCAACTTTCTCTTTTCAGTGTTAATACATCATAAATCTTTCCTGTCCCATCTGTAGAGGAATTGGGATGGTTTTGGAGAAGGGGTTGAGCTCTGGGTCTCTATAGTGGAAACTGTCCTGAAGATATCGGTGTCTCTCCCAGCTCCAGGTAAGGCCACGGTAGGAACTTAGTTGAATTACATCACCTCTCTGAGCATCATGTTCTTATCTGTATCTACAACAGGAGAGGTCAATCCTGCTTCATGGAGTTGGCTTCAAGATTGATTGAGAGCCTGGATGTAAATTTTCAATCCTAGTGCCCGGTAATCCGTGTTAGTCCCCTCTCTTTCCTTTCCCCTGCTTAGGGAGGTCCTTGAGGATTCTTGGAAGGTGACATCCAGCAGAAAGCAGGTGAGGAAGAAGGCCAAGTGCCTGAATGGGGTTTGCAGGCTCGCAGTTGGGACTCACCTCGACCAAGTTGCAAATTGATTGTTTCTTTATCCGAGAAGAGCTGGGAAGGATTAATTCAAAGTGGTTGGTGCAAAGCCCAGCTGGTTCCAGGAGTAGTAAGTGAGCATTGATCTAGGGCTTTAAAGTTTACCTAAAACACCCATAAACATTTCTTCTGGACCTGATGACATCAGGGAGATAGATGTTCATGAGGCCACATTTGCCAGGTTTTTCCCTCTGTCATGGGCTTCTCCATCTCCTTCCTGAAATGCTGGAGCTCTCCAGACAAGGCCCCAGACATAGTTTTCAACGTCATGTGTATCCTGACATCCGCAGTTCAGACCTCCCCCTGAAATCAGGATTCATACACTTTACCTGGGGATCTAATTGGCATCTCATATTTACCATGGCCTCAAACCAAATCCCTGATATTTCCCCTCAAACCTGCTTCATCTTATCTAATAGCAACTGGAAATGGCTGAGGCCAAAAAACCTTGAAGTCATCCAGGATGCCTCCTTCTCTTCCCATCCCATCTGCCAAGACCTCGTGCCAGCTCTTCTTCCAACAGGTATCCAGAACCCAACCTCCTCTCATCTCCATGGCAACCATATTGGTCCAAACTACTGTCGCCTTCCATCTGCAAACTGTGGGCCCTCCTAGTCACTCTCTGCTTCTGCCGTCGCCCCTCACAGCACCCAGGGAGAGCCTGAGAAAAATGAAGTCAGATTGTGTGCTTCTTTGCTGGACAGTGTGCCAGCGCTCTCTGACTAAAGCCGAAGTCCTGAGGATGTGTGATTTTTCTCTCCTTCCTCATGTCTCTCCCATGTCTCATGTCCAGCTCTTGTGCCCCTTTCTCACTTGCCTCCAGCCACTTGGCTCTGCTTTGCTACTTTTCAAGCATCTGGACCAGCTCACTGTCCTCTGGGTACCTGCCTGCCTGCCCTCCTGCTGGCTTCAAATCTTTGCTCCGATGTCATCTTGGCTCAGAGACTGTCACTTCTACCCTCTGTAAAGCACGACAACCCTCCCCCCACCCCCACCCAAGAATTTCCTGTTCTCCTTCTTTCTTTCCTTTTTTTCCCTACAGCCCTTACCATCTGTACCATGTTGTAGAGTTAACACTTATTTTGTTTACTCTCTAGGAAGATAGAATATTTTTCCTTTGTTTCCTCAGTGGCTGCAACAGTGACCAGAACAGTTAACTGTTATTTCCATTTATGGGTACTGATTTTGAAGGGTTAATCTGACTTTTCTAACTCAGGAAAAACAATTTTGTTTAAGTCAAACAACAAAGAGTTGTCATCTTTGTTTTCAAATTTGCATAGGAACTGCTTTTTCCTGGCTTTAGAGCTGGAAGGACCTACCTTCTCTTTGTTCCTCTGTCCATCTGGGGCACCAGGTTCATGCACATCGTAGGGTTTCGCCTTCACCTGTTTAGTGCTTCCTTAGCAACAACAACTTCAGCACAGCAAGTTCCACATTTCTTTCCTCCTTAGGTCTATAGAGAATATGACAATTTAGTTCATACTATCCTTATACATACATTATTCTGTTCATTTTCAAGCTATTTTTCAAAAAGGAGACAAAGAATAATTTACAAATGCAACACTTCAGATTCATAATAAACTTCTCCTGTTCTGGTTGTGTGGGGTGATGATCCTTTTCATTTCTATAGGATAAGAACACAGATTATAATTTACCAAGGCCAGGACTCAGTATTTCTCTAAGTCAGTGATTTAGAAATTATTCAAAGATATAATGTACTCTGTAGCTACTCACAGCCCAATGGCTGTGTATTCTTTTAGTATTTACTCGTAATATTCTTATTACTTGCAGATATGTTTTTTCTAATGAAGAAAAAGAACTCATTTTCTATGATATGCATTTCAGAAACTGGCAACTTTATTTCCACTTCAGAGCTCAAATACACTATTTCCTTTAGCTCAAACAGTCTTTTGCAATTAAGCTGAAGGGTTGACTTCTCATTATAATATCCCTTTATTTTCTATGATTATATCTCATAAACATTCTTTGCCAAGCAGCATTTTCCAATAGGTTATAGTAAATGACCCTGCATTTGGGGAGAAGGGATAATGTATTGATTGATAGATGATAGCAAAGGCTATTGCTAGTACTTGGTGCAAGTTGAGATGGGGGATTTGTATACGTTTGTAAGATGATTAACTGTAGTTGGGGACACATTCCACAATCACCAAAAGGTGACAAGCCAAGAAACTAACCTGAGGATACAACTGAGAGGTTTGGCTCCATTTGCTAAGTTGTAGAGTGCAGATGTGCGTTTACTGATCATTCAATCACTATGATAGATCAATAGAGCCTGCGTGTTGGTTTAATTCCTTTATTATTAGATTATTTGTGAAGCAAAAGTCAGGTCCATCTTGCGCTCACTCCTCCAGCCTGTGAACAGCCCTTTGTTCATTTCCAAGGGCAGCTTCTGGCCCTTCAGATTCCAATACCATTAAGCCCATAAGACACAGTGTTGCACCAAATGATTGATGCCCTTTGAGCTGGATGGCCTGATGGAGCAGGCTTCTCAGAGCAAGTCCAAGTTCAGTGGTCGATAACCATAAACTTAGCAGCTGCCCCTCCACTACAACAGCGTTTCAGTCATCACCACCAAAAGACACTGGACCTGGCTCTCCCAGCACATATTTCTTGTAGGTTCCTGGAGCTCTCGCAGGCTTCAGTGACAGCTCCAGGCGCCTACAGCAGCAGCAAGGCAGTGTGTGCAGTACTCAGTGATTTATATTTGCGTGGCTTTTGAGCTAGTCAGCAAAAAGCACTCATCTATCTTCTCCTCCCCAGGAAGTTGGACCACGCTATTATTCATATTTTGTCGATGAGGAAACTGAGGTGATGGACCCTCCCAAAGTGAGGAGATTGCAAAAAAAGAGACAAAGCTCTTTCTTGATCCAAAAGTAGTATTTGACATCTGATCTTCTAACAGGTGGTATTGAGCATTTTGATGACTTAGCACAGATGGTATTTGATGGAGACATTCACACCAGTGGAAAACACTGCTGCTCCACTGTGATGATTCCTTTTAACTTTCTGAATATATTGTTTAGCTAGGGCTTGTCAAGCTGGTAGATGAAGAAAGGCCAATGGGACCTCTCTCTTGCTCTGCCTCCCCTTGATCAAGTTTAGACCGAGAAGCGCCCAAGGTCCCTGCCCATGGAGTTGCCAAGACTCAGCCCACAGCCTTGTAGTAATAACAGACAATACATTCGGAAGAGCGGGCTGCATGCCTTGCTTCTTTGCTTCCTCCAGGATAGGCTTGCACCAGAATTATTTCCTAGATGTAATAAATTTAGGAGCCTCCCACAGTGGAACTGACAGCAAAGGCAAAGACTGTCAACCCACCTCCCCCCGTGATGGAAAACTTCACAAGGTTTTCCCAGCAGTGCATTAGGGCAGCTCCGTAAGAACCCACGGTTGTGCGCGCTTTGAGACTTCACGTCTTCCATTAACCAATTCTAAGACAGAAGACCAGTGTCTTTATTTCCCATGTTGTTGAAGTACTTTACATAGGCTTTAACCCAGTTGCTAAATTGCTTGAATTTGTTAAATGTACAAAAGGGCCTCCTCCCCGTTGATGGAGTAAAAGTAGATGTTTGATTAAGTAGATAGCTAGATGTGCTTTTTTTCTCCCTATCTGGATGTGCTAAGGGGGTATGTTTGAAACTTAGCACTCAGTTCATGCCTTTCATAAGGGGAGGGAAGAGGGTATTTAACAAGGTTCATAATGACAGATAGAGGAATTGACACCACAAAAGAAAAAGAATCATTCTAGCATTTCGTGACAGTTCACAGACAGATGTCGTTGGCTAAGTGAGAATCTCGTAGACGTGGGGGTAATATACACCTTATATGCATATGGATTAGCGAAAGCAGACTGTCAAGTCGGTGAGTGTGAGATTGTCAAATATGAGACATAGCTGCAGAAAACCTGGAGAACTACTTACTATTTATTTCTTTTCTTAAAGACCCAATCCTGTTGTCTTTTCACAGACAAAAGACTGAGTACTTTAAGGACAGAGGCAGGCCAAGGGTAGGAGGGAACTGAAGCGTTGGATCGGGGCTTCCGGAGGACAGCAGGGCTAGTAGTCTATTCCCTTTGAAGTGTATTTTTCATCTTATCCTAGGCCAACCATTCTCTTTTGTTTCAGTAGACCTTACCTCACCCAACAGGCCAATATCTAGTCCCATCTTCCTGATGTCCATGATGAGGGATTCCAGAATTGCAATTGATGGGACCCCAGATAGAGCAAGTTATCTTTGAAGTCCCTTGGAATTAGTTTGACCATGGTGGTCAACCCCACTGAGGTGATTTTGGGCTCTGGACAAGAGGAGATGCTTTAGAGAAGCGTCACTGGCCTTCTGAGCTTTGGTAGAGGTTGGGTAGGTGGAGAGTGTCACCAGCCAGAGACAGTTTGGTTTGGTTGGGTAGATGGACAGTGTCCCTCGTTAGAGTCAGGTGACCTGGTTTTGGTCACGCTTCTCTCTACAGCCTTGGGCAAGTCCTTCAGGTCACCTTCCTAAGCATCAGTTCCTTTGTTCATAAGATTGGAATGGTTGACAAGATGGTCTCTGTGGTCTCCCCAGAATGACCCTCCATGACTTGATTTTGGCTTTGGCAATGTTTTTCTGTGGGCTTGCATAGACCTGAGAACAGCCTTGGCAAAAAGCTCTGCAGGCTCTTGGCCCATTATCTGTAAGTCCACCCTCCCTCTGTCCTTTAGTGCCGTGCTTCCCAGAAGTCCCCAAACACTGAGGGCTAACTCTTCCAAAAGCAGTCAGAACTTATCACACCCTGAAACATGCACCAACACAACCAGTAACTCCATCACCTACTAACCTATACTGACTAAACCTCTTTGGCCAAACCTGGATGGTTTGACTTCAGGACTGTGTGAGAAGGAGTGAAGAAGTAGACAATTCTCCTACCTGAAACATAAGTAAAACTGATACGTGCTAGAGAGAAAGATCCACGTGCCTTTGATCTGTGTAGTGCCCTCACAGAGAAGCTTGATGTTTCTTGCTTGCAGCAGGATTTTCCTGGGAAAGTCCTCCTGAGTAAAAGGAGAGAGACACCTGGTGAAGATCAGAACTCTTGGAAAAGGCTGCCCCCTGCCACAGCAAGGGGAGATTTAAGGAAGGTGAGTTAATATCAGACTAAAGTAAGTATATCGATCTGAGGGAAATTCTGAACTCTGCTGTGAGCTAGGCCGTTGGTAAGTAGGAAATGCTTTGGGGAAAACCCATGACTTCCCCAAATGCCTATGTAAATGCCTACAGCATGGAAAATGGGCAGGGAGACCCTGAGATCTCAGCAGACACTGTCACTTCAACTGGAAATGTTGAGCTGAAACTGAAGAGAGGCCGTGAAGATCAGAATTACAACAATGTGTAGGTTCAAAGGCCTGCCATCATCTTATGCTCAGAAAAGAGAGTGTGATGACAGTGCAGAGAACATCTGAGTGGAGCAAACATTCTTTGTAGGGAAAGAGAATATGATAAGAGTTATAGAAATGTGTGTAAGAAATTATGCAAAGTAGACAGATGAAATTGCCTCTGGTTAAAAAGGCAAAACAGCCCAAGCAAAATGACCTGGGGGGGTGGTAGTTTGAAATGGATATATATCATCCAAAAAAGTTTCACATGGTAGGTGAAATTTTCTTAGTATTAAAGATGGATAGGTTGTGAAAATGTCTTGTAGTTATATGTCAAAATGTCCTTATCAATTAGAGATGCCTAGTGATCTATTTATGGGTAAAATGAGCTGTGCTTTAAAATACTCCAGCAAAACAACAACAACAACAAGAATTATAAATAAAAAAAGCAGCTGAGGGATGGAACCGGGTTCGTAATATCTTTCATAATTGTTGATGGAGGTGATGGCTATATGGGGATTCATTATGTGATTATCTGTTTTCGTATATATTTGAAAATTTCTGTGATAGCATTTTTTAAGAAAGAAAAAGAAGGCAAGAAGACCACTATTTAAATACAAATGATAGCTTGAGATAATATTTGCAATGCATGTGAAAGAAAGTCCATATATACATATATTTGCTCATATACAAAGAGCTCTTACAAATTAATAAAAAAAAGAAAAAGAAGTAACTCAATAAGCAATGGGCAAATCACTTCATTATACAACTTACAAAAGAAAACAAAGGCCACTGAATACAAGAAAAAGATTCAGCTTTAGTAGCAGTTAAAAAATGAAAATTAAAATATATTGCAACATATGACTTTTTATTTATCACACCTCAAAGATTGCTGTTAAGGGAGTGGAGAAAGTGGGGCTCCTTGGTGGCATTCATAGGGTGGATCAGTGCACCACTGAGCATTGCATGTCAATATGAATCAAAACGTAAAATGTATAAGTGTACTTTGTAACTTCAAGGAATGCATGCTCAAGAGCTAGGTGTGTGTGTGTGTGTGTGTGTGTGTGTGTGTGTGTGTGTATGATTTGTTGGTTCTTTTTCTCTTCTTTCCATTGTACTCTGAGTCTTCTTTTTTTTAAATTAATTTTTATTGGAGTATAGTTGCTTTACAAAGTTGTATTAGTTTCTGCTGTACAGCAAAGTGAATCAGCTATACGTATACATATATCTGCTCTTTTTTGGATTTCCTTCCCATTTAGGTCACCACAGAGCATTGAGGAGAGTTCCCTGTGCTATACAGTGGGTTCTCATTAGTTATCTATTTTATACGTAGTAGTTGGTTCTTTAGAATGAGGTTTTTAGAGACAGAAATTGAAAACAAACTGAATGTTCATCACAAGATAAGATAAAATTTGATATGTTCCTATAAATATATGTTCCTATAAATGAGTAGTTTTTATAGTAGTTCCTGTAAAAGTAGATGATGTAGATGATTTTTTGAGATGAAAAGATACCCACTATGAGTAGTTGAGTGAAAATTCAAATTGCAAAATGATTTTAAGCATTTCACAGGTTTTTCATATATATATCTACAAAGCTCTCACTAAAATGTTAACATTACCTGTGGGTGAGAGGTTCTTGAGTGACTCATACTTTCTTCTTAATAATTTTCTATATTCTTTGACTGTATTACAGTATTATTAGTAATATCTAATATTATCGATAAAGCTATGTAATATAAAAAATTGTAGTTGAGATACCTCATTTGATTTGCTTCATAGAATTAAAAAAGTGTTAACAAGAAACTAAGTTGGGTCAAAATCATGTTGGAAACCATCATGATAACTGATTAATTCATAAGGAAAAAGAAAAATATATAATAAGCAAAGACTGTTTTGAAAATTAATTTAATTCTAAGATATCCATGAGTCCAAGAGTGTTAGATGCAAATATTTTGATAGCTTAATTATCAACTTTATTGGAAAAGTGAAAGACAGTTTATTGCACACTGGTAAATAAAACCCAGGTATACAAAATTTAGAAAGACCCATAAATATGTCTCCAACAGCATTTATTTATTTTTTCTTTTCTTTTTTAAAAAATTGAAGTATAGTTGATTTACAATGTTGTGTTAATTTCTGCTGTACAGCAAAGTGATTCAGTTATACATATATATATTTTTAAATATTATTTTCCATTATGGTTTACCATAGGATATGAATATAGTTCCCTGTGCTATATAGGAGGACATTGTTGTTTATCCATCCTATATATAATGGCTCACGTCTGCTAACCCCAACCTCCCATTCCATCCTCCCCCAACTCCCTCCCCCATTGGCAACCACAAAGCTGTTCTGTAAGTCTGTGGGTCTGTTTCTGTTTCATTGATAAGTCCATTCGTGCCATATTTTAGATTCCACATATAAGTGATATCATATGATATTTGTCTTTATCTTTCTGACTTACTTCACTTAGTATGACAATCTCTAGATCCATCCATGTTGCTGCAAATGGCATTATTTCATTCTTTTTTATGGCTGGGTAATATTCCATTGTCTATATGTACCACCTCTTCTTCATCCATTCAGCTGTCAATGGACATTTAGGCTGCTTCCATGTCTTGGCTGTTGTGAATAGTGCTGCTATGAACAGAGGGGTGCATGTATCTTTTTGAATTATAGTCTTGTCTGGATATACGCCCAGGAGTGGGATTGCAGGATCATATGGTAGTTCTATTTTTAGTTTTTTAAAGACCCTCCATATTGTTTTCCATAGTGGCTGCACCAACTTACATTCCCACCAACAGTGTAGGAGGGTTCCCTTTCCTCCACACACTCTCTAGCATTTATTGTTTGTATCGAACAGCATTTATGATGAATCTATCACACATCTTGAACCCCAAGATTTAATACACACCTGTGGAAGCCATATTAACTAAAAAGAGTAGACACACTTTTCAAACCAGTATAACAAACAAAATGCTCTTTTAGAACATGAGATGAAGGTGGGAAACGTTACAACTGTCCCATAGAAAATAAGCCTTAAACACAGAGAATTTCTATTTTTACATAGTGGAAGCACTAGTTTCTGAAATAAAATTGGCTAATGAAACAAATTTAGATGATGCTTTTGAAGCATTTGACTGTTTTTACTGTGGTAAAATACACATCAAATAACATTTACATCATAACCTATTTGTACAGTTCAGGGGTGTTAAGTACATCCACAGTGTTGTAAACCATCACCACAATCATCTCTAGAACTTTCTCATCACCCCAAGGAAACCCCATACCCATTAAACAGTTGCTCTCATTCTCTCATTAAACAGTTGCTCTCATTCACCCCTCCCCAGCCCCTGGCAACTATGAATCTGCTTTTATCCCCATTAATTTGTCTATTATGGATATTTTCTATAAATGGAATCATACAACATGTGGCCTTTTGTGTCTGGTTTCTTTCACTTAGAAAGTTGTTGAGAATAATGTTCATCCATGTTGTAGCATGTATTTGTTTTTCATTCCTTTTTATGGCTGAACAACATCCCACTGTGTGATATTTTGTTTATCCATTCATCTGTTGATGAACATTTGGGTTGTTTGTATCTTTTGGTTAATGTGAACAGAGCTGCTATGAACATTTGTGTACAAGATTTTGTTTGAAAACTGTACCTGTTTTGAATTCTTTTGGGTATAGACTTAGGAGTGGAATTGCTGGGTTATGTGGTAGTTCTATGTGTAACTTATTGAGGAATTACTAATTTTTTTTCCACAGCAGCTGCACCATTTTAACTTCCTACCAGCAATGTATAAGTGTTCTAGTATCTCCACATACTCATTGATGCCCATGAATTTCCAGTTTTTTGGATTATATCTATTTTAATGGTTGTGAAGTGGTATCTCATTGTGGTTTTAATTTGCATTGACCTGATGACTAGTGACATTGAGCACCTTTTCATATATTTGGTGGCCATTTGTATATCTTCTTTGGGGGAAGGCCTATCCAAGTCCTTTACTCATTTTTTAATTGGCTTGTGTGTGTTTTTGTTGTTGAATTGTAAGTGTTCTTTATATATTATGAACACTTTAGATATTCTGGCTGTATACTAGAGTTGATATATTCTAGTATCTAGAGTCATGTTGGATGCATGATTTGCAAATATTTTGGTCCATTCTATGGGCTGTCTTTTCACTCTCTGGGTAGTGTTCTTGAGTTACTGATGCACAAAATTTTGTTGAAGTCCAACTTATCTGTTTTTTCTTTCGTTGACTGCATTAATGTCTATCTTAATGTCAATTTTCATTGCATTTTGGGATATTCAAATTTATCTGTAAGAGGAACTCTGGTGTGTTTTTATCACCCATGATTATTTACTTAAATGTATTTTCTTTCCCTGAAATAATTTTGTATTAAAATGTCTGTTTCCTCTGTTGTTGTTGTTGTTCTTCAAAAAGTGCATGGTCTTCATCTAGTTGGTGAAAATAAAACTTTAGTGTAAAATTAAGAAGTTGGAAGCTTTTCATGGGTTTTACCTGTTGTCGTAAAAAAACACCGTGACCTTGGGCTTCGCTGGTGGCGCAGTGGTTGAGAGTACGCCTGCCGATACAGGGGACACGGATTCGTGCCCCGGTCCGGGAAGATCCCACATGCCACGGAGCAGCTGGGCCCGTGAGCCGTG